CACTGCCAGTTGCAGCGGCTCAACCTCTAAAGTCTAGTTCTAGTATAGTGTGTCAGCCTTATGCGTAGCAGTACCCTTGTCAGTAGTAGTCTTAAGTGGAACTCCTGATCCTCAGTTGTCAGGTCCCTTAACAGAATGCACTGGGTATAATTCAGGTGCATTAGATGGATTATTAATAATCATTTTCAATACAATCTCATATGACTTCATCATTTGCATTCAGGGTCAGGCCAGGTGAGCTCAGCACAAAGGAATAAAATAACAATACAAAGGTGAAAAATTACAATACATACACAGACACTTGAAGCTAGACAGTAGATTATGCAAAATCACATGGGGGACTTCAGAATCATGGTATGCATGCAAAGGAACACACATGAGGCATCAAGGGTCATGCAGGCTGATAGCATTGTCATTGACATTTACAGAGTAGGTTAGCAGTGAACCAATAGTGAGATAAGAGGGGAACAAGAGAATTACTAGCTCCAACAAATTCAAGTATGGAAAAGCATGCATATATTGTTGAAATATAAATGTGGCTAAATATTACCTGTCTTTGACTAGAACACAAGGCAAGTAAGAAGGCTGAGAGTTGTCTTAGATGTCTGTGAAGACACTAAGATGAGAATAAGAGAGAGAGAGTAAAGCACTGGGATTAAGCATTCTACCTAGGGGTTTATATACACAGGGAGGACACTACATGTACAAACAATGAGATAATAAATCTAAAGTGGTGCCATATACTAATTATAAGTCAGCTGCCTAATGGGGTAGTAATCTCCAGGAAGCTGACAATGGACATCAAAGGAATGTGTCAAATCTGCTGACATTGTAGAATAATAGATGCAGCTAGGTCCAACCAGACTCTTTCAGATTCTGTCTGGAATCTACTAGACTCAGTCTAGATGCATAGCTATATCTGGATCATCAGATACATCAGATAAACAATTGTGTGTCTAGATCTATATTAGATAAGATATAGATCAGATTAGATCAACTAATCTACAGTGTCCATGAACTATTTGTAGTGGCTCTGTACATAGAATATATAGGTGTGTCTCAATATTCATTTAATACTCCCACTTGTTCAAGATGTTACAAAATCATAAACGTTGACACTTTTGAGAAATTTCTGAAGAATATTGAGTGATACATTCTTTGTAAGGCAATCAACAAGTTGTTCTGCTGTTTTGACATATATGATGTCAACTTCTTTGTGTTACAATGTCAAAGGGGGGGGTTCTTTTTCTTTTCCTAACTATTCATTGTTGACCCTGTACTATACAACTGATCCCATCACTTGATGTGTTTCACCTACATCAGTGTTTCATATCCATTGTGTTTCACTTATATCATGTTTCACCTACATCACATTTCACTTCTATCATGTTTCATCTTCATCACTGATACAATCCAGTGAAACTGTTTCATGTACATCACTGATCTAACTCAGTGTC